GCGTGGCAAAGAGTTGAAGGAAAGGATGCATGTCTGGGCCAAGATGAAGAAAGATGGGAAAGGACAACTAGTGTTAGTAGACATAGAGGTCTTCAAAGGCAGGGTAGGTGCCCTTATAGATAGTGGGGCATCCCGTAGCTACATTAGTCATTAAGCGTTGCAAAGGTTGAAGCTGAACTTGAAGGTCTGAAAGTTAGAGAAACCTATAGTTAGCATACTCGTTGACAGTCGCACGATGCGAGTCGAGGATTATGTCGAGGGAGTCCAGGCATACTTCCGCCTAGGGAAAGATGGGAAGATAGAGAGAATTCTCCATTCCCAGATTCTCCTCGTCGAGGACAATCTCCCGTTTGATAGGGTCGTAGGAATAGAATGGGGAGAGGCAGTACGGGCCACACTCCATTTGAGAGAGCACGAGTGTAGGCTCGCTAGCCCGTCAGGTGAAGTTGAGACTGCTCGCCTGTTTCATTTGTCAGGGGTAGATAACCCCTTAGCACATTGGTGCCTCAGCGCTCCTGCATTCGCAAGGTTAGTGAAGGAGCAGCAGCTAGAAGAACAGGTTTTTGTAGCCTATGTTAGGCCAGTCACTTAGCCTAAAACTGATTTTTTCGATTGACCCTTGCATTACCAAGCTGCTGGGAGAATATGCAGATTTGTCTTAGCCGCCGCAACCAATCCAACATCGCATTGAGATAGGTAGTAGGACTCCTAAGGGAGTTGTTTATAGAATGTCCGAAAGGGAGTTAGAGGAGTTGCGCAAAAAGTTCGACGAGCTGCTCGAAAAGGAGGAGTTGCGCAAAAAGTTCGACGAGCTCCTCAAAAAGGGTTGGATTAGGCCCAGTTCATCTCCATTTGGAGCACCTGTTCTGCTTGTCCCCAAGCAAGAGAGAGAACTTAGAATGTGCATTGACTATAGGGGTCTTAATGTCGTCACAGTAAAGAATGCAGAACCACTGGCCCGTATAGATGATCTATAAGATCAGCTGCAGGTCTGCAATTACTTCTCTAAGATAGATTTGATGCCTGGCTATCATCAGATAGAGGTACATCTTGATGATCAGTACAAGACGACATTCAAGACTAGATATGGGCACTACGAGTTTATAGTGATGCCCTTTGGAATAACCAATGCGCCAACTACATTCCAACGCTGTATGAACGATCTCTTAGGCCATGGTTAGATAGATTTGTAGTGGTGTACTTAGATGATATTATAGTGTTTAGTAAGACCCTCCATGAGCATGAGGGCCATCTGAGGCAGGTCTTGGAGAAGCTGAGGGAAGCTAACTTCAAGATCAACGAGAAGAAGTGTGAGTGGGCCAAGACACAAGTTTTGTACTTGGGTCACGTCTTAGATGGAGATGGCGAGGACAGTAAGATAGCGGTGCCTGGAGATTGGCCAACGCCCCGCACATTGACAGAGTTGTGGTCGTTCCTTGGCCTAGTAAACTACTATAGGAAGTCCGTCAGGAACTTTTCTACCATCGCTGCACCTCTTTGCAGGTTGCTAAAGAAAGAAGCAATCTGGGAGTGGGATAGAGACTGTATGTCGGCCCTGAAGAAGCTAAAGCAGGCCTTGATAGAGTACCTAGTCCTCAAGGTAGCTAACCAGTCCTTGCCTTTTGTTGTCGCCACTGACGCATGTGAGTATGGTATAGGTGTTGTCTTACAACAAGATGGTGGCAATAGGTATAGACCCGTAGAGTTCATGTATGCTAGGATGCCTTCAGAGATGGTAGCGACATCTACCTACGAGAGAGAACTCTACGCTCTCAGGAAAGCATTAGGTCAGTGGAAGCACTACTTGCTTGGGAGGCACTTCAAAGTTGATTCAGACCACGAGACGACGAGGTGGCTGAAAAGACAGGCCAAGATGACACCTAAGCTTACTAGGTGGGCCGCAAAAATAGACCATTTTGCCTTCGAGCTCAAGCTAGTTAAGGGGAAGTATCACGTAGTCGCGAACACTCTAAGTAGGAGAGCTGATTACTTTGGAGCGATAGTTCACTATCTGGATATAGGGAAAGACCTGCAACAGAAAGTCAAGGACGTGTATGCACAAGACCTTATTTATAGTGATCTCCTTGAGAGGGTTAAGGAGTCCCCAGAGTCTGAACCAGATTACCGCACTACAAACGGGTTGCTATTCGAGAAGACTAGTGTAGTCGATCGTTTATGCATTCCCAACAGCGAAAAGGTCCGTAGTCTGATCATAGGGGAATGTCACGACACAGAGGGACATTTTGGTGGGCAAAAGACGTTAGCCAACCTTATTTGCGCGTATACGTGGCCAGATATGAAGGGTGACTGCATAGAGTATGTACGCAGTTGTAAGGTATGCCAACAGAATAAGACCACTACGCGAGCCCCTCTTGGCCTTCTCAGACCATTGCCTATACCCGCAGGACCCGGAGATTCAGTGTCCGTTGACTTTATGGATGCTGACATGGCAAGAGCCAAGTCATGGTTATAGTTGATAGATTTGGTAAGTGTAGTTTTTGTTTCGTTGCCCTAAGAGGCACGTACATATTTAGTTATAGATAAGTTCTTTGATCATTGGGTCAGTGAGCATGGTCTAGCGCTGTCGATAGTTAGTGACGGAGATACCAGGTTCACTAGTCAGAATTGGTAGGAACTGACGAGAGTCTATGGCTCTAAGTTGTTGATGTCATCTGGCCGTCATCTTGAGACTAACGGTCAGACTAAACAGATGAACAAAATCCTGCAACAAGTTCTTGGAATGTATATTAGACCCGATCAAGGCAATTGGGACGAGATGCGCCCAAAGGTATTTGATGCATACAACAACAACGCACACTTAGCCACTTGTCGTACTCCCGACGAGTTGCGTAAGTCTTTAGACAACGCAGACTGTTTGAGGGACTGAACTGGGATCAGATCCAGAGGCTACCGCCCGATACAAGGGAGTTAGCGATACAATACGAGAAAGAGATAGCTACCGTTGTAGAGAACCTCAGGATGGCCCAGCACAGGATGATCGAACAAGCCAAGAAACACCTTCGCCCATCACAGTTCCAAGTAGGCGACTTAGTCAAGGTCAAGTCAAAGGAGTTTGCTGATGAGGAGAACATCTCGCATAAGCTATTGCGTGCGTATAGAGGACCGTGGCTAGTCCTAGAAGTTACGGGCGGAGACGATGGACCGTCCTACACCATAGAGATTCCAGCACACGTCCACACCTATCCCGTTTTTCATGCGTCAAAGTTGTTGCCCTGTACCACAAGTCGACAGTTTCCATCACGGGGATCCATGATCCCTCCGGACATGGATGGAAGGTACGACATTGACCGCATAGTAGGTGAAGATGTGTGCAGAACAGGAGGTAGAGGTCGTCCATAGAAACGTTATAACGCCAGATTCTCTTTTCAAGAACCAGAGGACGATCACTGGTTCACGCAAACAGAACTTCTAGAGACCGCTCCCGATGTACTTCGACCGTATGAGAGAGAAAAGAAAGGTAAAGGTCTTTTTGGATTGAAGTATTCTCGGAGGACCTCGAATTTAGGACGGCGGGAGTGAAACGGTTTTCACCTTTGCGGTAACAGATGCAGATCCTAGGGCTCGATCCCTAGACCTTACCTCGCCCATGTACGGTACTAGGTAGACCCCTGCGTGTTTTGAACCCGTGGCCTGTGTTTTGGTATCTGACTGTTGCCTATCGTAGGTCTGTGTAGTTGTCGGGTCTTGAACTCTAGGTTTGTCGAGTAGAGGTCATAGCTACGTAGGGGTTGTCGTTGTTGCAACTCTGAAAGGTCAAGGTCGGAGCTGCTACAGTCTTGAAAGGTCAGGTTGTAGCTGCTGCAACTCCGAAAGGCCAAGTCCACAGACTTTCGGAAGGTCCGGAACTGGCCTTTCGAGTGTTGCTCACGTTAGACCTGAGGCAAGTGGGCAAGTGGGTACGTCAACCTTGCTTAGTCACCGGTACCCAGTCCTAGTCTCACTTTGTCCATTCAACAAATACCATGTGGGACTGTGTGCACCATGGGCCCGGTGGAAAGGGGCACGACCAACAGAAATATAAATCAAGAGGTAGCGTTCAACCATTCATGCATTTCTGCTGTGTGCCATGCGGAATTGCTGCACTAGCGTCTTGTGCGAGGTGGTCTACAGATGCCGAAGTCGAAGTGGGCTGGAAGGGAGATAGAGCAGCCATCGCTGCTTGTAGTTAGTGTTGGAAGGCGGCCATAGCTACCACAATTAGCAAAAGTCAGTAGTGTATGTGTGTGCGTGATACAGAGTAGGAGTGAGTTGGATATTTGGGGAGGTCCAGAGTGAATGTTGTGAATACAGTGTCGGACAGGTGATGTGTAGGCGCTTAGGCGCCATAGCCAATTGAAGCGAGTTTGTATCTGAACTATGTTGTCAGGCTCAATATCTCTGAGCTTTGAGTGGGCGCCTGGCGCCAGTGTGGATTGCCACTTGTCTGCATGCATGTTGAACGGAGAAGTAAACGAGTTTGATTGCACACACGTGGATTCAGGGGGGTCGATATGTGTGAGCCAGCAAGGGAGATTAGGGTATGTAAATGCAAACACTATGGCCTGTAAACCAGGAGTTCACCCAGGTGTGGAGGCGGTTCACTGCGTGTCAAGCTTTTTCGAACTGCTAGCGGCTCACTTCTTTTCTTTTTTGGCTGGTGCCACCAGCCATTGTGGTGTCGTAGGCTCGACCTGCAAAACTTTTGAGGTAGGTGACAAACAGGTTTCTGCAAGGTTGGGGCCATTTTCTGGTGGTTTAAACCACCAGTACATGGCCCCAAGCAACTGTAGAACCTATTTTGAGCCTTTCAAAGAATTTAGGGGGCCAAGTGCCATAGGTAAAATGAATCGGCGGTGGGCGGCCTTCGAAAGGGGCCTGTGACTATAGCTGGCATGTACTAGCTGAATCCGACCCGACTGACGTATACAAAAACTGCACCTGACCAATAAAGCCTACACCTGCTCGAGATCTAGGGGACAGGCTGGGGCCTTCAAGTTTTGGATTGGCCTTTTTTAGTTTTCTCGAGAATTGGTTGGCCTGTTGAGAGTAGCAGACATACAACCAATCAGCCCATGTATCGTTCGATGATTGAGCAATAATCATGGCTCTCTCATTCCACTCCCACATCACTAGAATTCATGGATTCTATTAGTTCAACGCATCCCTGCTCAAACTTGAGAAGGTGGTAGAAACGTTTTGGGAATACTGGGCTTTGCAAAGGACCAAGTATGTCTCCATTGTCAGATGGTGCAATGAAGAAAGTACGAAAATTCATGATGGAGTAAAACAGTTCATGCAAGAGAAAAAAACAAGTAGTGGAAAAGTTGGAAAACCTCGTCCACACGCTGGAACAATTGGACCAGGAACTGATTGATGAAAGTGTGTGGATGATGTTCTCTTGCATGTGTACTTTCCGTTGTTCCAGTGTGTGGATGAGGATCTCTTGCATGTGTACTTTCCCGTTGTTCTGGTGTGTGGATGAGGTTTTCCAACTTTTCCACTATTTGGTAATGACGGACTTGACCGCTGGCTCTCTCGGTGTAAATGAGGCACTCTACTAATTGAACTAATTACCCAAATGTGGAAAAAAAAAGGGGGAAAAAAAGAGAAGAAATTCCATCTTGGCAATTGAAAAATAAATTAAATGATTCCATTTTGGCAGTTAAAAAATTTACAGTTTTGGCGTGAGGTGATGGCAGCCTGGAGGAAGGTTAGGCCCAGGGCACGAAATCCAACTATCACCAAGGAGGAAGTAAGACGCCTGCCTCTATTTGAGAACAACTGGATTAGGGATGAGGAGGGAGAAGTTTTTTGGGCGGATGGAAAACCAGGACACTTTGGCCAGAGCTGGATCGAGAAGGGTGGGATGGCAGAAGAAACCAATGGAAAGCTGACGAGAACTAAAAGCAGCAACTAGGACAATTGTCGTTCCAGGCTGAGCAGGCGGACCTGCTGAGGAAGGCCATTCCGATAAGCTGGACCCCCCCATTATCCCCGACCTAGTTTGTAACGGGACCCTACTTAAGCGGCTGAGGATTGACTCAACAGCTTGGTGTTGGAAGGATGAAAAGGGCAAGCAGATTGGACTGGACAAACTGTTTGCCAAACTGGCTCTGAGAATTAGCACAGCAACACCACCAGTTGAGGGAAGGAATCCTTCCCATTGTACAAGGAAGCTCTGGAATATCTGCCACGAACGGTAGTCGAATTCACAAGGCTCTGGGAGCGAGGAGGATGAATGCAGCGAGCCTCAACACACAGATAGAAGGGGAAGTAGCTAGCGTCTTCATGAATAGTTTTGGCTGCCTATCTTCAGGCTGAAGAGGCACTCCCCTGGCATACTCTAATTGATCTCTGCATATGAATTCTGCAAGTTGTAAAAGGAACGTTGGGCCTGTTTCTCGGCAGGTGCGGCTCGCCACCAATAGATGGGGCCTCCCGAGGAATAGCTAGAGGTGCCTGCTCCTATCAGCACCGCAAGCTATCTGCTAGCAATGAGCCCTCGCTGGACCCTTATCGGACATACAAGTGTTCTGAGCCACGGCCCCTAGCAATCCTGTGCCCGCCGTAAGTGAGGCGGGCCTGAATATCCACGAGAGGCCTGTTTTCGTCATTTTTCCATAGGTGGGGATTCACATAGTAGCAGCACGCCAGTTGGTTACAGAGCAACGTGAGCCTCCGGGCTCTTTCCTTAAGCAAGGGCTGCACTATCCAGTTGAGCCCAGGCTCAGGTGGCTGCGCCTTGGGCACACGCTGTGCGAGACCGGCACATCATGGATTGTCCGTGGGCCATTGAGAGAGCGGCATTGCTGTCAGACATGAGTGAGGAGCCAATGAGAATGTTGCGAACACTTGAAAGCTGCGTGGCTGCCCAAACGTGCCTAACTTCGGGGGGCCGAGGCCAACATCGGAAACAAGGCTTGGCGTAGACAGTTGGGGCCAAAGGCAAACTACGTCCCCCCCCCTTTCACGCCTGACCAGGCCAGCCATGCACAGGCACACTTGTCTGCGCCAACGTTGGGGCATTCTGCCATGTGTCGGCATTGTGGCCACGCTGCAGTATTGCCCTGCGAAGCTGTGCTATGCAGGCTGGCCGGGGCGCTCATGGGCGCTCACGGGCGCTAACCGGTGAGGGCAATGTGGTTGGAGTGGGCACACGGCGGCCATAGTCGGGCCAAGTGTGTGGGTGGTTGGAGGTGGTGATGGCGGTCTTCGGGTAGGGCATGAAGAAGAGGGGAGACGAGGTGTTGAGGGGAGGAGAGAGAGTACGCACCTGGTGTATGCCGGTGATAGGCATTGGTGATGATGTCAACGTACATTGGTTTTCAACGACAATGTAATCTGGCTGGAATATATAGTCTAGATAGGCTGATTAGAGTAGGCTGGGCGCCAATCGCCACAGAGTAGGAGGAACAGTGGATATTATGTTGTTGTGTCCAAAGTGTGGCGACATTGACAGAATGAGTTCATAGTATTGCTCTTATTAGAATGGTATCTTGGTGAATTGTACTATCTTCTTGGTAATCGACTATCTGAGCTTCTTCGTGACTTTGCAACCTGGCTTTCTGTTTATCGCTCCCGTTCATAATCCTTGCAATTTGGTATCGAAGTTGGTTCGATATCGCCATCTCTAGCGCTGGTGACTTTGTTAGCTTCTACGCAGCAAGGATACATTGGTGCTAGCTTGTTGTAGGCGACTCCCAAGTAGAGGGGAGCGTCGTCGGAAGACTGCG